CCCAAATTACCAAGGAAATGTTGAAAAAGAAAAACAAAGATAAGCACATCATGTTGCCTGATTTCAACCTATATTACAAAGCTGTAATCACCAAGACAGCATGGTACTGGTACAAAACAGACACATAGACCAATGGAGCAGAGCAGAGAGCCAGATATGGACCCTCAACTCTATGGTCAAGTAATCTTTGACAAAGCAGAAAAAAATATCCAAAGGAAAAAAGAAAGCCATGCTGGGAAAATTGAACAGCAAAGGACAGAAGAATCGAACTCGACGATTCTCTTAATCCATACACAAAGGTTAATTGAAATGGATAAAAGACCTCAACGTGAGGCAGGAATCCATCAGACTCATAGAGGAAAACATAGATAGTAATCTCTTTGACATCGGCAACAGCAACTTCTTTCAAGATATATCTCCAAAGGCAAAGGAAACAAAAGCAAAAATGAACTTTTGGGACTTCATCATGATCAAAAGCTTCTGCACAGCAAAGGAAACAGTCAACAAGCAAAGAGGCAACCCACGGAATGGGAGAAGATATTTGCAAATGACAGTATAGACAAAAGGCTGATATCCAGGATCTATAAAGAACTGTTCAAATTCAACACACACAAAACAGATAATCATGTCCAAAAATGGGCAGAAGACATGAACAGACACTTCTCCAATGAAGACATACAAATGGTTAACAGGACACATGAAAAAATGTTCATCCTCACTAGTTATCAGGGACATTCACATCAAAACTGCATTGAGCCCACAGCCGCCAAACTGTGGAAAGAACCAAGATGCTCTTCAATGAAGGAATTGATGAGGAAGATGTGGTCCATATACACTATGGAGTATTATGCCTCCATCACAAAGGATGAATACGCAACTTTTGTATCAGCATGGATGGGACTGGAGGAGATTATGCTGAGTGAAATAAGTCAAGCTGAGAGAGTCAATGATCATATGGTTTCACTTATTTGTGGAGCATAACAAATAGCATGGAGGACAAGAGGAGTTAGAGAGGAGAAGGGAGTTGGGGGAAATTGGAAGCGGAGGTGAACCATGAGAGACTATGGACTCTGAAAAACAATCTGAGGGTTTTGAAGTGGTGGGGTGTGGGAGGTTGGGGGAACCAGGCGGTGGGTATTAGAGAGGGCACAGATTGCATGGAGCACTGGATGTGGTGCAAAACCAATGAATACTGTTATGCTGAAAAAAAAAAAAAAAAAAAAACCCACAGTGAGATACCACTTCACACCAGTCAGAATGGCTAAAATTAACAAGTCAGGAAATGATAGCTGCTGGCGAGGATGCGGAGAAAGGGGAACCCTCCTTCACTGTTGGGGGGAATGCAAGCTGGTGCAGCCACTTTGGAAAACAACATGGAAGTTCCTCAAAAAGTTGAAAATAGAGCTATGACCCAGTAATTGCACTACTGGTGCATTTACCCTATAGATGCAAATGTAGTGATCCTATGACCCAGCAATTGTACTACTGGTGTATTTACCCTAAAGATGCAAATGTAGTGATCTGAAGGGGCACGTGCACTCGAATGTTTATAGCAGCAATGTCAACAATAGCCAAACTATGGAAAGAACCTAGATGTCCATCAACAGATGAATGGATAAAGAAGGTGTGATAAATACACACACACATACACACACACACACACGCATGCACATATATATATGGGAATACTATGCAGCCATCAAAAGAAATGAAACCTTGCAATTTGTGATGACATGGATGGAACTAGAGGGTATTATGCTTAGTGAAATAAGTCAATCAGAGACAGACAACTGTTGTATGATCTCGCTGATATGGGGAAGTGGAGATGTCATGTGTGGAGTTTGGGGGATTGGAAAAGAATAAATGAAACAAGATGGGATTGGGAGGGAGACAAAGCACAAGAGACTCTTAATCTCACAAAACAAACTGAGGGTTGCTGGCGGGAAGGGGATTGGGAGAGGGTGGTGGAGTTATGGACATTGGGGAGGGTATGTGCTATGGTGAGTGCTGTGAAGAGTGTAAACCTCACGATTCACAGACCTGTACCTTTGGGGATAAAGATGCATTATATGTTTATTTAAAAAATAAAAAAAATAATAATAATAAAAAAAGAAAAAAGGTAATTCCTGGTAAACAATAGACGTTGAGGATGTGAGTGGATATGAGTGAAAGAAACAGTGGGTGTATGACAGTTTCCTGACCAAGATGTCTTGTGTCTGTAGGTGTCCAGGGTGAGGTGCAGCTGGTGGAGTCTGTGGGAGACCTCGTGAAGCCTGGGGGGTCCCTGAGACACTCCTGTGCAGCCTCTGGATTCACCTTCAGTAGTTATGGCATGAGCTAGGTCTGCCAGGCTCCAGGGAAGGGGCTGCAGTGGGTCACACGTATTAGTAGTGATGGAAGTAACACGTACAACTCTGGCTCAATACTAGGATGTGTTCAAAGACCCATTTAGAAAAGGCTTGCATCAAAATCTGAGAGGAGAACACAGATAGTAACCTCTTAGATCCTCAACTGCAGCAACATCTTGCAAGATGGGTCTCTAAAAGCAAGGGAAACAACCAAAAAGGAACTTTTGGGACTACACCAAGATTAAAATCTTCTGCAATGCAAAGGGAACAGTCAACCAAACTAAAAGGTAACCTCTGGAATTGGAGAAGATATTTGCAAATGACACTACAGACAAGGGGTTGATATCTAAGATCAATAAAGAACTTACCAGACTCAACACCCAAAAAACAAATAATCCAGTCAGGAAATGGGCAGAAGGCATGAGTAGACACTTCTCCAGAGAGACATACAAATGGCCAACAGACATATGAAAAAATGCTCCACATCCCTTGTCACCATGGAAATATAAATCAAAACCACAATGAGATATTAACTTATATGAGTTAGAAAGGCTAAAATTAATAATACATGGAACAACAAATGATGGAGAAGATGTGGAGAAAGGGGAACCCTCTTATGCTGTTGGTGGGAATGCAAGGTCATACAACAACTTTGGAAAACAGTGTGTAGGTTCCTCAAAAACTTAAAATAGTACTGCCCTATGATTCAGCAATTGCACTATTGGGTATTTACCCCAAAGATACAGATGTAGTTAAAAGGGGGGGGCATATGAACCCCAATATCATAGCATTAATTTCACTATAGTGAAACTGTGGAAGCTGCTGAGGTGTCCTTCCACATATGAATGGATAAAGAGGATGTGGTCCATATATACAATGGAATATTACTCAGCCATCAGAAAGGATGAATACCTACCATTTCATCAACTTGGATGGAACCTGAGGGTATTATGTCAAGTAGAATAAGTCAAGCAGAGAAATATAGTTATCCTATGGTTTCACTTCTATGTGGAACATAAGGAGTAGTGAGGAGGACCACAGAGAAATTCAATTATCATACGGTTTTACTTACTTGTGGAGCATAAGGAATAACATAGCGCATTAGGAGAGGGAAAGGAAAAGTGAGTTGGGGGAAATTGGAGGGGGATATGAAACATGAAAGACTGTGGACTATGAGAAACAAAATGAGGGCTTTGGAGTGGAGGGGGGTGGAGGGATGGGTGAGCCTGGTGGTGGGTATCAAGGAGGACACGTATTGCATGGAGCACTGGGTTTGGTGCATAACAGTGAATCTTGGAACACTGAAAAATAAAATTAAATTTAAAAAAAGGAAATCAGAGAGGGAGACAAACCATGAGAGATTCTGGATTCTGGGAAGCAAGGATTACAGAAGGGAAGGTGGTGGGGATTGGGGTAGCCAGGTGATGGCTATTAAGGAGGGCAAGTGATGGGATGAGCACTGGGTGTTATACACAACTAATGTATCTTTGAACACTACATCAAAAACTAATGATGTAATATATGTTGGCTAATTGAACGTTTAAAAAGAACATAGACTTTTTTTCAGGTTTTTTTAAAATTTTGTTTTAGTGTTCCAGAATTCATTGTTCATGCACCAAGGAAATAAGGGCTTTGAATGACACACTGGACCAGATAGATTTCTTTATTATTTTGGGGGCCCTTTCTCTTTTATTTTGATCAATTTAAGTAGAGGATTCTCAGGTGTATTGTGTTTTTTCCCCAAAAGTATTATGGGACATGATGAGCACATGGTTTTATACTGAACAGATGGAGCAGTGAATATTACATCACAAATCAATGGTGTACTATACCTTGGCTAATTTAATAAAAAAAAAAGAATCATACCTGGTTTCTTTGATCCATTCTGTGTTCCTTAGTTTCTATATAATCTCTTTCTGCTCTAATCTTGCAATTTCCTTCCTTCTGCTATATTTAGGATTCAGTTGTTGCTCATTCTCTAGCATCTTTAGGTGTAATGTTTAGGTGTAATGTTGTTTATTTGAGATTCTTCTTGCTTCTTGAGGTGCTCCTGTATGGGGTGTATTTTTGTCTTAGGGCCACCTTTGCTGCAGAGAAATGACAGGATGGTGATAGAGGTTTTCTATTCTTTTCCTATATTTAATTTTATTTTTTCAGTGGAGGTTTTATACTCGTGTGTGTGTGTGTGTGTGTGTGTGTGTGTGTGTGTGTGTGTGATATCTTCTGGCTCCACTGGAGGTTCTTGTGATCCACAGTGAGTGCCACTGAGATTCTTATAAAGGTTTTGTTGACCTGCATCAGGATACTTGTAATTGATTGGTATTCAAGGACAAGAGGAAACTAATGTAACGGACTCCTTTTATTTTTTTGCATGTTAATATATATTTTCTCCTGTTACACCTAAGTTTCTAAGTCAGATAGTGAGTAGGTAAGCACAGAATAATGTCAAGGAGGCTCCCTTGGGAAAACTGCTCTATGGAGAGGAAAGCACAGACCCTGACAGGAAACCTGCCATAACCTCCATCTGCACCTGCTCCTGGGATTAAAGACAGAATTGGTGAGGAGTGTGCACCCTCTGCTGGTCTGATACCATTGTAGTTTGAGGTTTGTGTCTGGGCTCACACTGAGGGCCCCTCACTGTGTTTCTCGCACAATAATACACGGCCGTGTCTTTGGCTCTCAGGCTGTTCATCTACAGATACATCATGTTCTTGCCATTGTCTCTGGAGATGGTGAATCGGCCCTTCACAGAGTATGTGCTTCCAACACTGTTAATATATGCGACCCACTGCAGCCCCATCCCTGGAGCCTGGCGGACACAGTTCATTTCATTGTTACTGATGGTGAATCCAGAAGCTGCACAGGAGAGTCTCAGAGACCCCCCAGGCTTCACCAAGTCTCCCCCAGACTCCACCAGCTGCACCTCACACAGGACACCTGCAGACACAAGACATCCTAGTCAGGAATCTGTCACACACCCATGGTTTATCTAACTCATATCCACTCACATACACAATGTCCCTTGTTCTCTGTAAATTACCTTTTAAAAGAGCAACAAGGAAAACCCAGCCAAGCACAAATTCCATGGTGAGTTCACTGTGTTCTGTCCTGCTCAGTGAATGTGGACACTTGGAAATCCCAGGACTGGGGCTCCTCTCCCAGCTGCATGGTCTGGGCTGGGCTGTTTTGTTTAGTGGAGGGAAGACCCTATTTGCATGTCCTCTGAGTTTATATTTAGCTCCAGACATAGATTCAATTCTTTACAAGTTAAAAACAAAGATTGCATTGTTTGTAGATCACTTTTTTTTAGATGGCACTTTGACAATATGTAGTATTCTTTTTTTTCCCCCTGCTTTTAGGTTTTATTTTTTTTATTAATCATTTTTTATTTATTTTCAGAATAACAGATTTCATTGTTTTTGTACCACACCCAGTGCTCCATGCAATCCGTGCCCTCTCTAATACCCACCACTGTAGTATTCTTTTTTTGTTTGCTTGTTTAAAAATGCATTTATTGGGTTCCTGAGTGTCTCAGTGGGTTAAAGACTCTGCCTGTGACTCAGGTCATGATCCTGGGGTATTGAGATTGATCCCCCCCATCAGACTTTCTGTTAAGCCAGGATCCTGATTTCCCCCACCCTGCCTACCTCTCTGCTTACTTGTTATCCCAGTCTGTCAAATAAATGAAATCTTTTAAAAATGCATTTATTGGTAGGAAACGTTGGAACAGGACATCAATATTATAAATTCCCATTCAGAGTTAATAATTCTATCAGAGCCAAGTTTAAATATACCTTTAATATAGGAAAGAATAAACTTTGCAAAAGTGCTAGGATTATCAGTTTCCCAGGTCTGTTGTGTTCCATTGTCCTGTGTGTCTGTTTTTATGCCAGTATCATACAGTTTTGATAACAACAGCTTTGTAATCTAGCTTGAAATTGGAGTGTGGTGACTTCAGGTGGTTTAGTTGCCTGTTTACTTTCTTTCTTTCTTTAAAAAAATATTTATTTATTTAAATTTCTTTTAAGTGTACCCGAATTCATTGTTTGTGCAACACACCCAGCTCTCCATGCAATACATTTCCTCCATAATGCCCACCACCAGGCTCACCCAACCTCCCACATTCCTTCCTTCCAAAACCCTCAGTTACTTCCTCTGAGTCCACAGTCTCTCGTGGTTCATCTCCCCCTCCAATTTCCTCCAACTCCCTTCTCCTCTCCATCTCCCCATGTCCTCTGTTATTCCTTATGCTCCACAAATAAGCAAAACCTTATGATAATTGACTTTCTCTGCTTGACTTACTTCATTCAGCAGTATTCTAATGTGTGAAGATAATTTTTTTCTTTTTTTCTATTACAGCATTTTATTTTATTTTTTTTTTAAGATTTTTATTTATTTGACAGAGCACAAGTAGGCAGAGAGGCAGGCAGAGAGAGAGAGGAGGAAGAGGCAGGCTCCCTGCCGAGCAGAGAGCCCGACGCGAGGCTCAATCCCAGGACCCTGGGATCATGACCTGAGCCGAAGGCAGAGGCTTTAATTACTGAGCCACCCAGGCGCCCCCATATTACAGCATTTTAAAAAATTATTTTCTTATGTTAGTCACCATGCAGTACATCATTAGTTTGGTTTTTGTTTGTTTGTTTGTTTGTTTGCACTGTACACTTTTTGCTGCTTTGTCACAGATTATATGACCATTGAGTTGAGGGTCCATATCTGGGCTCTCTACTCTGTTCCACTGGTCTATGTGTCTGTTCTTGTGCCAGTACCATGCTGTCTTGGTGATCACAGCTTTGTAGTAAAGCTTGAAATCAGGTAACGTGATGCTCCCAGTTTTGTTTTTCTTTTTCAACATTTCCTTAGCAATTCAGGGTATTTTCTGGCTCCATATAAATTTTAGGATTGTTTTTTCCAGAACAAATATATGAAAAAGCATTTCATGCTCACAGATTGGAAGAATAAACATTGTTAAAATATCTATACTGCCCAGAGCAATCTTTACTTTCAGTGCAATCCTTATTAAAATTCCAGTGACATTTTTCAAAACAAGGACTTTGAATGACACAATAGATCAGACTGATTTCTTTTTTATTTAATTTTTATTAACACATAATGTATTATTAGCCCCAGGGTTAAGGGTCTGTGAATTGTCAGACTTACACACTTCACAGCACTCACCATAGCACATACCCTCCCCAATGTCCATAACCCAACCACCCCTGTTTTCTTATTTTATGTTTTAAAAATTTTTACTTAAATTCAGTTAAGTTAACACACAGTGCATTATTGGTTTCAGAGGTAGAATTTAGTGATTCATCAGTTGCACATAACACCTAGTGCCCATTCCATCAAATGCCACTAAAACCGTGAGCAGTATTGATCCTAGCAAGCCCTAACCTGGGTGACGGCCATTCCTTGGGCTGCCATCTGAGGTCCAGGCCCACACTGGCTGCGATCACACCCAGAGGAGGTTCAGGTCCCAGATGCCTGTGGGTGGAAGGACTTAGGCCCATGCTCATGACTGCCTGATTCCACTAGTTTCCCCTTAAGATCTTTTGCTCTTTTTGAGTGCTTTTAACCAGACTCCAAATTAATGCTTGTACACAACCACAGGGCACTAATGTATTGGGGTATTACTTTTCAATGAGTCACTTCTGGTGGCTCCCTCCCCCTTCTGCTTATCCTCCGATATCAGTCTGAGCCCTGCCACTCTGCTTTACCTCTTCACTGATGTTATCTGCACCCATAGAGGTCCGGAAGTGTATACTCTTATGTCTCAGGCTGATTTAATTGGTATTCGGTGTTCAGAAAGATATTCAGCTCACTTTAGGGCACCGGTTGAAACATTGTCTCCTCCTACTCTCCACCATCTTACCCCTCACCCATAAAATCTTTTTTTTTAAGATTTTATTTATTTATTTGACAGACAGAGATCACAAGTAGGCAGAGAGGCAGGCAGAGAGAGAGGAGGAATCAGGCTCCCCACCAAACAGAGAGCCTGATGTGGGGCTTGATCCCAGGACCCTGGGATCATGACCTGAGCTGAAGGCAGAGGCTTTAACCCACTGAGCCACCCAGGCACCCCCATAAAGTCTTTTTTGAATTGTGTTATGTTAGTCACCATAAAATACATCATTAGTTTTTGATGCAGTGTTCCAAGATGCATTGTTTATGTACAACACCCAATGCTCCATGCAGTACATGCCCTCCTTAATACCCAACATCAGGATCACCTATCACCCCATCCTTCTTCCCTCCAAAACCCTCATATTGTTTCTCAGAGTCCACTGTGTCTCATGGTTCATCTCCTCCTCCGATTTGCCCAAATTGACTTTTCCTTCCCTTCTCCTAATGTCCAGCATGTTATTCTTTGTACTCCACAATTTAGAGAAACTGTATGATAATTGACTTTCTCTGTTTGACTTATTTCACTCAGCATAATCTCCTCCACTCCTGTACATGTTGATACAAATGTTGGGTATTCATCTGATGGAGGCATAATACTCCATTGTATATATGGACCACATCTTCCTTATCCATTCTTCTGTCAATATTATTTTGATAGGGACTACATTAAATATGTAGATTGCTTTGGGTAACATAAACGTTTTAAGAATATTTCTTCCTCCAATCCATGAGCATGGAAGTTTTTCCATTTCTTTTTGTCTTCCTCAATTTCTTAAGTGTTCTGTAGTTTCTAGAGTATAGATCCTTTATCTCTTTGGTTAGCTTTATTTTTAGTTGTTTTTTTTTGGGGGGGTGGAGGGTGGAATTGTAAATGGGATTGATTCCTTGATTTCTCTTTCTTTTGTTTCATTTTTAGTGTATAGAAATGTAACTGAATTTTGTGCATTGGGTTTATATACTGCCAATTTGCTGAATTGCTGTCCCAATTCAAGGATTTTTTTTTTTTTCTGGAGTCTTTTTGGTTTTCTACATAGAGTATCATGTCATCTGCAAAAAGTGAAATTTTGACTCCTTTTCCCATTGTAATGCCTTTTATTTCTTTTGTTTTATGACAGCTGAAGCTAGGACTTCCAGTACTATGTTGAAGAACAGTGATGAGAGTGGACATTCCTGTCATGCTCCTGACCTTAGTGGACTAGACCCTTCATTTTCTTCTTACAGGAGACTCATTTTAGACAAAAAGTCACTTCCAGATTGAATATGAGAGAATGGAGAACAATTATCTTGCCAATGGACAGCAAAAGAAAGCTGGAGTAGCCTTTATACAAGTAGCCTTGTATCAAATAAATAGATTTTTATCTGAAGACTGTCATAAGAGATGAAGGAATCTATATCCTACTAAAAGGGTCTACCCAACACGAATATCTAATATTTGTAAGTATTTATGCCCCAAACTTGGAAGCAAGAAAGTATATAAATCATTTAATACAAAATTAAAGAAATACATCGATAATAGTAGAATAATAGTAGGGGAGTTTAACACCCTACTCACAGCAATGGACAGATCACCTAAGCATAAGATCAACAAGGAAATAAAGGCATAGGGGAAGGGAAGGAAAACTGAATGGGAAGAAATCAGAGAGGGAGACAAACCATGAGAGATTCTGGACTCCAGGAAACGAACAAGGGTTACAGAAGGAAAGGAATGGGGTAGCCAGGTGATCGGTATCAAGGAGGGCAGGTGATGCAATGAGCACTGGGTGTTATACAAGACTAACGAATCATTGAACACTGCATCAAAAAGTAATGATGCACTATATGTTGGCTAAGTGACAATAAAAAAAAAAACTAATGATGTCACATATGTTCTGCAGAGTGCAGAAGGTTGTGATTCTAGAGAGCACCAGCTGGCATCCACACCAGTCTCTCTCATGGGCACCACCACCCAGACGCTCTCACATGAGCCAGCAGCTCAGGGACCAAGACCTGGCTTCTTCGCTGCACTCTCTCTGGCTCAGCACCAGGGGTAGTGGTCCTGCGTCCATGGGTTTAAGTCCCTGTCCCTAACCGCCTGATTCCACCAATTTCCCCTTAAGATATTTTGCTTTTTTTGCATGCTCTCAATGAGATTCCAAGTTAATGCTGGTCCCCAATCACAGGGCACTCTCGTATTGGGGTATTA